CAATTATTTTCTCATTATTATTTTTATTACACAATAATTTTTTATTAAACAATAATTTTAGAAAAGAAAGAAGAGTATATAAATATGTATGAACATATTCCATATATAATTATATTAATTATGTTATAATTATATTATTTATGAATGTTTGTACATGTTTACGTATGTTTATATATATTTATATACATTCATACAAAACATTTTTATCGCGATATAATATCTATAGAATATACATTTCAGAGATATGTATATTAATTACTATTAATAATTTCAGATATGTATGTTAATTAATTATTATCAACAATATACAATTTATAAAATAAATAAAATTATTCATTTTTCCTAAAGCTTAATTTATTAAACAACTGCTATATTTAATTGTTCGTTATTAAAAAAACTGTGAATGCATTTAAAAAAAAAAAAAAAATTACGTATAATTACGATAAATCGATAATAAAAAGACCGCGCGCGTCTGATAATTTTGAATCTCTGCACATTACACTAAAAACCAATAATTAAAAATAAACATTAACTTCAGTTAAATAGAGAATATTAAAACAAAAATATCAATTGAATATTCAACTCCAAAATTGTGTATTGAAATCAATTTTGCTCTTTTCTGCAATAGAACAATTAAATTGAGCTGCGATTATAATAACTCACAAAAACGAAAGCAAAAAATTGTTGCAATTGATACATAGGGAAAGAAAAGAAAGTATAAAACGTGTGTAGTTTCACAGCTTACGTTACCACTCTTAGGCTCAAATAACATATGGTTGTGTAGCCAACAGTTATAACTACTAAGCGACAGTATTCTTACTTGCAGGTACAACTCTCCACGTGGGAGTTCTTGTCATTCTGATAAAATGACGTCATCGTGAAACGTCGACAACAGGACTTCACGTTGGACACGAATACAAATTTATTGTTTCCCGTTTTTTTTGTCACTGGATCACCCAAATCTCACTACTGCTAACCTTGTGATGATTTCGCGGAGATACGTTATATACGTGAATAACACACTCTTTCTCTCTCTCTCTCTCTCTCTCTCTCTCTCTCTCTCTCTTTCTCTCTCTCTCTCTCTCATACGCACGGTGCTTCCATAATAAGAAAATAGTGCATTCCAAGCAGAATAACAAGTCACTATGATGTTAAAATGATATCAAAATGACTCCAAAATAATCATTAAAAGTCTTTTTCAATCATTTCCGATTCAATTTAATGTCATTTTAACATTATCGTGACTTGTTATTCTGCTTGGGATTGTTTCGCACAAAGATCTTGTATGACCTCGTAAAAAGAAAAAAAAGTGACACTAATAAAATTATTTGGCGTCGTGTTGAGGTTAGGTACACCTACACGCCAATGAAATTTGAACGGAAATAGTTCCTAACAATCATAGTTCCTAACAATCGATATTATCGTAAAATCATCCACCGAGGGAGTCGCAAAATTGCCAATTGTGTTAAACCACTTCGATTTAATGACTGACGTAAACATTCGATATGATGACGCGGCGAATGACAGTGGTGTTCTTGTCAGGTATACGTAGGACGATGACACAATGACGAGTGACAAGTGGCGTACTCGCGTTTGCGGAGAAACATAGGTACCTGAAGAGCAGGTGAGATTGTGCGGACACGAGCAGCACACGGGATTTTAACGCGCGCGTGACCAACATCGGAGCATCGGAGGATAGACACGAATCTGACAAATTGCAAAGTTGGAGCACGAAGTTCTACACTCGCTTGCACTCACTATGATCCACCGATCAAATCAACTTATGTCACTGACCGATTAGGATTGTCGATTGATAGTTCTATATTAGCGAATCATCACAATGCAATGAATATGGGCCATCGTAATTGACTAAAATAGAATCGTCAACGATAATCTCAATCAGAAGTAATGCGATTAGCTTTACGGTTTAATGAATAAATAAAAGCTATGATAGGAGCATGTTGGATGTTGAAATATGCGACATGACAAATCTAATATAATCCTCCTAATCTAATATCTGCGACAAGTTAAGTTATACGTTGCCATGACATTGTTATCGTGTCGTGCAGTTATAGTGGCTGCAAAAAAACTGCTTTGTAACTGTTGTAAAATTCTTTAATATGATTGGTCTTGCCCTTAATTCTTCAATGGATTTAAATGTATAAACCAATCATATCTAAGAATTTTATAACAGATGCAAAGATGTTTTCTTTGCAGCGTTCCGAACGCGGCCAATAACTGCGTTCAGCGGACTTAAGAGTTGAATGAGGGCTCGCTGTTATTGATGTACTCTTTCACATTTAAAATGCTGATTTGAAAGAATATACTTATAACATCGAGTTCATTCAACTGTTGAACGCAGCCAATTGATGCTTAAATTGGCTGTTCCGAATTCAATCCCAAGCGTTCAACTTCATGTGTATTCCACAGTACGTGGTTTCTAATAGGTTGAAATTCTTATTCTTTGTTCTTTATTTCTTTGATTGTGCGCAGCCTCTAATAACATCTATTGGTATATCCTTCTAGACATCCAATTAGACTTTTCTGGAAGAATATACCAATAGGAACTCACTCAACTAATTTGCTAAATGCGTTCAATAGTTTGAAGTTAGCGGCGCAAAATCTTCGAGAATTCAAATCCGGACAAGGAAGCACTGCATTCAGTTCAGATTAACCAGCAGCAAAATAATCTTTTTTTAAAGCAAAATAATCTTTTTTCTCGTATATTAAATTACAAAAAAAAACTAATTCTGTTTATGTCAATAAAATAATACAACAATTATTCGATTAATTATATAATCACTAATTTTAAATTACTCGAAATTTTTAATTTAAATCACTCGAGAGCGCGCGACATAGTCCGTTCTTATTTAAAAATATATTCAGTTTTAAGATATTAATATAGCTCCCTAATTGATTCATAACATCTTAAAACTGTACTTAACACGATCCTAAATATAAGATCTGATTATATATGAATACCATTCGAAATGAAAGTCGTTATTATCTTAAGATATTACTTAAGATGGTCTTAGGCCAATTACCAATGTCAGTTTAAGCGAAATTTATTTAAAACTCTATTTGTCTTGTTTAAAAGTCAAAAAAAGACAGAGACAGAAAAAGTTAAGCCTCGCTTAAAATCAAAGTAACTGGTACAACCGGACCGGTAAACCATAAGAATCGACTATGAATATCGGTCATAGATATCAATCGATCAGTTATTTAACACAAAATTTACTCGGCGTATTGTTTGACAGATTAAAAAAGAACACTGTATAACCTGTATACTGTTAAATTAACCAATGGAAACATAGTTCAAGGCTTTTTAAACAGTAATTGCATGTGCAGAATCAGTGATGCAAGAAAAAGTATCGGAGTGTGGTTCGTTTAGCGTTTCGAAAAATTTTTGGCCAGTCAGAAGAAAAAAATTTACTAATTAATCAATAAAAAAATGTGTTATATTTTTTTTAACATTATATATGATATTATTACAGAAAATACGTTATTATTTTATTGAAACTTAATTAAACTGTGTCAAACTGTGTATTTGACCAACATAGAAGACCAATATTTGTCTTTTTTTTTATATGTCTGTCTTCATAACAAATGTCATCTAATGTCAACATTTAGCGTGATTTTAATTGGCCATACAACAGCTAAATCACATATTGATGTAATGTATTATAATATATATACATATGTAAATTACAAAAATTAGTAAGTTCATTAGAATATTTACAACTTCACTGGTTAATAACTCATAAATTTTATTCATTATTGTAATTTTCATCTCATTCTAAAACATATACAATCGACCCAAATCGATTCCCTTGAATAGCTTTAAGCCGATGTCGCACTATACATTGAAGTCATTTGGAGGTTAAGGATTGCGAAATAAAGATTAGAATTTAATCAATCAGAATAAAACAGATTGAAATTAAAATTACCTGACCGATCGAAATCTAATCTCTAACTCGCAATCCTCCAATGCATAGTGTGAGACGGACTTAACGGATTTGACGCACGCAGTTCGCCGTTTATCTATCGATTACTCCGTAACGCGCATTTAGTACAGACGCACGCCGTGAGGCGCGGCCGGCGGCGCGGCCGCCGCCGTCGGCGCGCAGTGGCCCTTGTACACGCGTGATGCGCGGACGTACGTGTCGCGATTGTGCGAGAGAGATCGAGCTGCTATACATCGTCGGTCTGCTGATTTCCGCGACAGCGGTGTAGGTATACGCGTAAAACGATTCGTGATCTTGAGCAACCCCGGAGAGGGACTGTGGGGTGTCAAGCGTCATAGAATTACGTGCAAAGTAAACACACGCACGCACGTAAAAGCTCGTGTGCGCGCGCGCACGCGCGAGCAAGCGATCACAGCCAGGCAGACGTTGAAGCGTACAAAGCAACATCTCGCGATCAAGTGTATAGTCGGCGGTCGGTGTAGTGTTGACCGACAATCGAATTGGTTGACGACAGTCGAAGTGAACTGATTGCATACGCGCCAGACGACCCGAGAGTTACCCGTGTAAAGTGAGGAAACGCGCGATCGGAGCCGAAGCGCGACTACCTTCAGAGAGTTCAGAGCGACGTCGACAGTGGCATCGCTCGGGCGGGCACACCGCCGTCCGTGCCGCGCCGGGCGGCTCGTCTGTAGTATCTTCCCTTGCTTGTATGCCACGCTTCGAAACGAGGATCGGAGCTGGCTGTTGGTGTTTCGTTGTACTTATCGAGGTAAGCCGGCTTCGCCAATATCGCGAGTACCTAAACCGGCGGTAAGTCATTCTCGGCGGTTCTAGGCAGATTACGCCAGGCGTCATTTAAATGTATTTACTGAATTGTACGCGCCCTGACCGTTGGTCTCTTTCAACTGTTCTCTGCGTTTCTTGAATTTAAAGTGTATATACATATGTCTATTTGAGCTTCGGATGGAGATACGCAAAAACGATATAGAAAGAGAGAGAGAGAGAGAAACATTCGCTGTTAATTTTTTAGAGCTGACGCCAAAATTTGTAATATAGTTACTGAAGCTCGCCATAAAACTCCATTTAATTATTAATTAAAAGGCACTAATTAATTTCAAGAAACCAAAATAATATAAAAAAAAAAGAATAAATTGTAGAATATATTTTAATAAGAATAATTGAAATTTGCAGATGTAATATAAAGAAAATTGAATTGTTTGACAAAGAGATTTAGTGGATTCAAATTGAGTAAATCCAAGACTCTGACAGTTCAGGAGGGTTAAAAATAAATGAAAGATACGATGGATCTTGCATCGTAATCGGTATTAAGTAGATACATTACAAGGAGAAAAATCAATTAAATATTCATGGGAATCGATCACCCCTAGATCGACTTATTGACTGCGTTCAGCAGAAAATGCAACTTTGTAAATGTTACATAATTTTTTAAATATAATTGGCCCTTAGTTTCTCATCGAATCTAAATAAATATATATAATAATATTGAAAAAACTTGCAAAATTGCTTTTTCCGATGAACACAACAATTGTCAAGTTACACTTTTTATACTCGGCGCCTTCGACCAGAGAGGGTTTGGATCGTTCCTACGGCGATTAATGACGTAATGATCCTACCAAGTGCACCACCAGTTGAGCGCAAGTTCATAAAAGTTAACTTTGCCGCGCAAAGCAATTCGAGCTTCTTCTGGAGCCGAAAATGATGATTAAAGTAACACAGGAAATCTATTTTATCTCTCTCTAATTACACACTTTCTATTAGAAAGTACTTATCTTTTTAAAGTACGTGTATATGACGTTAAAATTATCGAGATGCTTTTTTATTAAATACTGAAGTAAATTTGATGTCTAATACGTTAAATTTTTTTTGGGAAACAAGGATCAAATAACATTCCAGTTCAGAAAGAAATATCTTGAGGATCAAATAACATTCCATTCAGAAAAAAATATCTGTTAAGCTTTATGCCTACGAGATTAGAAACTTCTCCGAGAAGTTTCTAAAGAAAGAATTTACATATTACATTGGAACAATTCGATCATATAATATACCAATGCGATTGGCCAATTATTTTTTATTCGAAATTTCTAGCATCGTGGACTCAAATCATTTATATTTTTCGACTCCAATTTGTTTCATTTTTACATTATTACTTATTGTTAGACACGATGCGTTCTAATTGTATCATATTTTCTGAGGGACTAATATTTATTTCTGTCAATGTCTGTTAATTTTAATTTCAATTTAATTTACTCTCTATTTTTTATAATTTTGGGAAAAAATAAAGAATAAATTAAATCGAGATTAAAGTTTTTCTACATTGGTAGAAATAGTCGATCATCTTTTTCTGTAATATTTTTTACTATTATAACTTTTCTGTGTATAAAAAAGTGATTATATATTCGTTGTTGTTATTTTGTTTCAAGCAAAAATGTCCAAATATTCAAATATTTTGTTTGTTTTAATTAACTTTCTTTTATTTCACAATATATTAGTATTTAAATGTATACAAGGTGTCTTAATATGTAGATGCTTTTTTTATTCTTTCAAAAAAATCAAGAAAGATAAATGTACGAAAAAAAAACTTTAAACTGAACTCTGTTGAATTGGAGACTGTTTATAGACATAGAAACTATAAATATAGAAACTGTTCTCGTGCGTTTTCACAGAAAAATATTGTAGAATATTCTAGAATCATTGAGATCGAACTGCCTGTCTATTACG